TGTAACCTTAAAAATAAACAAATGATAATCTTTAAATGTATTATTATATCAATATGCAGTACTAAATAAACATAAAAGTAACAAACAAATAAAAAGAAGGGCAAAAACAAAGCCAATCATTGGTTGTAAAGAGATTTGGAATTAGGCCAAAGCCCCTATTTGCGCCCTCCAATTATGTCTTTTTCGCGGTCAATAGCTTCAAATATTTTTCTTTGATTAACACCCTTCATTTTTTAAAACCCGTAAAAAACTTAATATTTTAACGGGTTATCATATCATCGTTAATAACCATTAAAAAGGGCAATATGTGGCAACCAAATAATGATGTGTGCGTTACGTGGCATTATTTATCTAATGTGGATGATTTTTTGATGACATGGCATAATTTTATGTGAAAACCTCCCAACTAAAAAAAAAAAAAAAAGAACTAGAACATGGTGGAACCCAGAGCGAAGGAACCCAACTCTGGGTTCCTCAGGATGAGGAACCTGAGCTGGGGTCCTCAAGACGAGGAACCCGATATAGGTTCCACCACGACGAGGAACCTTGAATTGGGTGTCATCGTGAGGAACCCAGAGTTGGGTTCCTCGTTGAATCCAGTTTGTACCTTTCTTTTGCCTTTCTTTTTTGTGATTCTTTTTGGTTTTGATAGAATAATAAGATGATGATTTGATTCTTTGATGGGTTCTCAACTTTTATTGCAAGTGAATTAAAAAATTGTTCCTTTTTTTCCAATCTGAATCAACCTCCATTAGAACCATCTTGCAAGTGAATTAAAAGATTGTTCCTTTTTTTCCAATCTGAAGCAATCTCCGTTAGAACCATGGATGACATCTTTTTTTATCTTCCATGGAGGCTGGGTTCCACAAGGAACCCAAAACTAGGTTCCTCACAAACCTAGGTTTTGGGATCCTCCTAGAACCCAATTTTGGGTTCGTGGAACCCTAGAACCTGGGTTCCACAGATGATGAAGAGGACAGTGAAGAGGAGGGTGAAGATGATGTTGAGGATGACAAGAAAGAAGAAGGTGAAGAAATTAAAGTTAATTATGTTTTAATTCATTTAATTTTATGTTTTAGTTTTTTTTTTAGTTGGGAGGTTTTCACATAAAATTATGCCATGTCATTATGCCACATCACCAAAAAATCATCCACACAAGATAAATAACGTCACATAATGCCCACATCATTATTTGGTTGCCACATATTGCACTTTTTAATGGTTATTAATGATGATGTGATGGCTTGTTAAAATATTAAATTTTTTTTTAGTTTTAAAAAGTGAAGAGTGTTAATCGGAGGAAAATATTTAAAAGATATTGGCTGTGGAAAGGACATAATTAAAGGGTGTCAATAGAGGATTTGGCCTTGGAATTATGCACCTTAGCCAACGCTACTTGAGTCCTATGCTCGTTCCATCTTGCATAACATTGATTCTCACCATTGCATTCTCTTTCAAATAACATCTCGATATGGATAAAATTAAATAATTATACTATTTAGTAGAAAATAAAACAAGTGCAAAAAAATAATAATAATAATAAATTCTAATAGTTCTGATTCTCAAGAAATGATCTTTCAA